GTGCGTGCTGATATTTGAACACAACAAGGATGCCGCTTTCTGTTTTCATGTAACACCAAAATGAGGTCTAGAAAGCTACGGTTGGCGACTGTAAGTGTCTGCGACTTATGTCATTCTTTCCAGGCTTGCTGCTTTCTCTCTCTCTCTCTCCCGCACTGCAACGCTACTGTCTGCGCTTCTGCGAAACGCCACTTTACGTTTATTATATGCACTCGTGTGCTATTGTGAATTGATCGTTTCTTATATTATTATATGAACTATTTCATACTAACCGTTTGCTTCTTTCAAACCCTATTCTTTCCCGCTTCCCTGTCGCCCGTTGCGACTGCGCATTGCGTTCTATCGCATTTTCTGCGCAAGTGAGCTGCACGACACTTCTCGGGCCTAGGAGTCCGCTCCCACGATGGCGTACTATGCTGCCTGGATAACGTTTCCTAATCCGCTAACCTATAATCTCCCTCATTACTTTCTAATGACGGCTAATTTTATTTAAAATCGTTTTGTCTTGACTTGATCTAGTTGTGTAATATCTATTTTTTTAGTAATCTTTTTTCTTTTATTTTTTCAGCATTTTTATGCGACGTGAATTATTGAGATTTTCTAATATTTACAATTGTAGAGCATTTATCTAGAGCTTTATTTAAGAGTGAATTGAAAGTTTTAGTACCATTTTCTATTTCAGTATCTAACTTAAAAGACATGTAAGACTTTCATCAATAAAAAATGAATACTTATCCAGTCAGTTTTCGTGTAGCTATTAACTGTTGTAATTACTTGACTTTGTAGAGTTATTAATACTGAAGAGTAGTATGAAGTTAAGTTCAAACATGACGATATTTCGAAGAGTTTTCTATTTATACTTTTTACTATTGCAAAGTCTATCAGATCTGCGGTATCTTATTGAAAGTTGTTGGCTAGTATGTCGGCTTTCCAGTAGATATTGGAACGTAGTTGTTTTTACGTAGTATTTCAAATAGTATTTTTCCTCTCGGGGTTGCAGTTTGTGAACTTGATGCCCACCATGGGTGCTACGCATTATAATCGCCACCTGCTATGAAACGATTACCTAGAGAAAGGAAGAAATCCGTCCAATTTTCTTTTGTTATTGTTTTGTTTGTAGGACAATAAACAACTGACACTTTAATCGGGTCTTTGTTGTCGTTTATGATTACACTAGTTGCTTGCAGAAAAGTTTGACTAGTGTATTTGTGAATCTAATGATTTATTTTTGTTTTGATGATAATAGCAGAACCTCTATGTACTTTACTTAGTGGATGATTTATTTTATGTACTGTGTAATTAGGAATGTGAAGAAAGTTTTTGCTTGTAAAATGTGTTTTTGTTACTAACATGATGTCAATATTTTCATGGACTAAAAATACTCTAAGCTCGACATATCTCTGCATAAGTCCATTTGCGTTAAAGATACTTATTTTCAATGTACTCATAAAGTTATTTTGCTCACTAATGTCGTTAGCATATTTAGCATGGTGTCCATTCTTTGCATTAATGTTTCCATCGTAATTTATTATTGTAGTAAAACTTATTGGATTAAATATAAATTTGATACTGCTTATTAAATAAGTAAAAGACGTAGAAAGTCGAATGAAAATAATCCTCTTAGCCGTTCTCTTTTGCAATCAAAAAATATATTTTTTGTGTAAAAGTAAAATAATGAATTTAAAATTATAATTTCACAATTGAATTATTTCAATATATTACCATATAGATAAAAACAAACAAATTTATCAAGTCAAATAACTATATATTGTATTAAACATTCTCTTTTACCTAGAGCTCTCTTCTTTAATTGTCCTGGAAGTGGACATGGATCTGATAAGAAGTTAATATTCTTGATTTTATGATTTCCACAGCCAGATATGTGTATTGATGATTCCTTGTTAAATCCTACACCACGAACGTATCTATAAACAGAAACTGTTCTTTTAAATGATAAATTTTGTAATGATGGAAAGAAGGGAAATAGTGATAGATGGAACATCACTTAATTTTAATTATATTCAGCAACGTTTCGTCAGCACATTTGCTGGCCACTTCAGGCTTTATTAATAGAAAAACAACAAAGTATTAACTGAATATAATTAAAATTAAGTGACTTTCCATCTATCACTATTTCCCTTTTTTGCATCATTACAAAATTTATCATTTAAAAAAATCACAAGGGAATCAAGACAGTATGTTACGTTCAGAAACTGTTCTATCAGTTTTTGGATTCTGTCGAATAGCTTCAGGATCAGTCAAGTCTTCAATTCTGTCAACTAACATGTAAAGATGTGTTGTTCTCCAGATAAAAGGACTGAGTTTCATCACTGAGATAAATCTTACTAGATTTTTTTATCTCCAATTTTAGGTATTCTTCATGCAGTAAACCGGAAAGATAAAAAAACTTTACTCTAGAGTAGATTTCAGTCCAAAAACGATATTTCAGTAACTTTTTGATCATACACATTTGTTTGGCATTTTCAATTATATCCAAATGTGTCAAAAAACCTACAATAGATGGCATACTATGTGATTGACATATGTTTGGAAATTCAAATATTTCTATTTCAAATTTAAAAGAGGCATCGATCAATAATAAAACTAAATCGGCAACCTTAGCGATATCTATCATACTGTTTATGTTATTATTATATTCTATAAGTGTAATTCTTCTTTTTTTGCCTGACAATCATATTACAGGACAAGCGATACTTGTCAAAGGTTGATTTATGAAGCCTTTTATAAAACATTGTATAATTAGAGATTTTCCTACTTTTAGTGGTCCAACAACAGCTACTAAAATTGGTGGTGGTTTTAACGGAGTTCCATCAACAACTGGAATATGTTGTTTATTTATTTTTATATCTTACTTACACCTGAATCTTCTTTCTACTTTGATTGCAGAATTGGATGTGAAGGCTTTAGGATTTCTATTTTTAGGATCTTCTTCTCTTTGTTACTGTACCTTTTTTTCTCAGCCTCACGACCAGCATTTATGTTGTTTGTGTGAAACATCATGATTAACTCAATAACTTTATTTACACGTCAAATAAATTATTCATTCAAATTCAAACATCTTTTTATATTCAGGAAGAAATCAAATGAAAGATATGCTCTAAATTTATTGAAAGTAGTTTGTGAATATAATAACCGACATCTTTAGAACTATACTTTAAATTATGGTTGTAAAATATTGTATTATTTTGTTAAATTATAATGATATTTGTTTAGTGCCTAGTAGTTATCGGTGTTAACAAAAAAAAAACTTAGAAAATGTTAAGTTTATAATCAAACCGATTTTTTGGAAATAATATTATCTTGATTTTTTGTATTTTTTTTGTATAAATATATAGTTATTGTTTAATCTGTACGATTAATTAATTGCAATAAAGGAGAGAGGCAAGGGTAAGTTAATTGATGAACATTGATGTTCGAACAGTTATGTGATTTCATAGTGTTGTTTGTTTTTGTTTATATGCTAATAGATTGAAATATATCAATCTTAAAATTATAATTTTAAATACATTTTTTTACTTTTACACAAAAAAGGTTTTCTTTGATCGCAAAAAGAAACGGCCAAGAGGATTATTTTCATTTGCCTTCCTACATCTCCTACAATGCCTAAGAAATCGATTACTTGTCACAATTTTCGGGTATTCGTCTTTTCGCTTATCGTTCGTTATAGTTCAAGACCACCGTGATAGAAAAGGTTAATAATCAGTCGGCAACGGGATCAGCTTAGGCTGGCGCAGTAAGCGCTGTAGTGGAGTTTTGATGCAACGTCTCGGCCCGTTAATATAAAATTTTGAGGGTTAATCTTAGGGAAAATATGCGAAGGGCAGACAGCTTGGTGTAGACAAGCTTGCCTGGTATGGTGGCTCAGCTTCATCGTGGGTTCAAGCTTCTATGGCCAGCTAGAACGTCTTGCAGCTCAATGCCAAGGTAAATAATGACAAGCAAGTTAAAGTAAAGATATTTATAGAAAAGTAAGCCCAGAGTAAATACAGACGGCAGTGAGATAGAGAAAGAGCAAGTCATACGATCGGTACTCACATTGACTTAGCCCTGGTTGTCGCTTAATTTCGCTGCAAGCGCACGGATAGCTTTATAGCTCATTAGGTTGAGTGCAGGTAGTAAGATACCAGTACGTTCAATCGGTTGCACTCGCAAAGAAATGAAAAGACACCAATCCGAAGGAGGAAAAAAAAGAAAGGCGACGTTTATACGAGTGTCTTGCATCTTCTCTTACGAAACCTTCGCGTCAACAGGCCAGCTTTCTCACTTATCTTACACGCCAACTATCAAGAACACCACAATACAATTTTATAATATCAAAATTTCAAATATAATGGAATGTAAGACTGAGATAGGAGATAGAGCGAGACATAACAAGTAGCAATCACACTTATTATAGTGTTCAATATTATCCCTTACTGTTTCTGATATAATACCTGTTCTATAATTTTAATTCTAATTTATCAATTTATTCTTTTAGTAAAAAGATGAAGGAATCCAACAAAAAAGGAATTTAAAAATTAAAAATATACTTTTTAAAAAATAGCCATTTGTTCATAAAAAACGTTAGTGAATTTTTGAATATTATTGGATAGGTAGTTTTACATCGATACTTTGATTGTTCATATTTTTACGAGTACTTGAAAAAAATGAGATTAATGGTTTTAACGATCGCGGTGATATAAATTTTTGAAAGAGTTTCATCAATATATTTTAATTATTTATAATTTTTGACCTATCTATCAGGATAGTTTAAAAATTTATAGTCAATTTTACTATTATATAGATAATATTTTACCAAGTTTCAGGAAAATCAGTTTCCAATACATTTGAAGTTAATCGTGATAGTCTGGAACGTACTCATTCATCAAGACTGAACAAAATAAGTGATTCGGAGTGTTGAATTTTTCTTTTAAGATATTTATTATATTTTTCTTTTAAGATATTAAAGATAATTATATTAAGAATATAAAATCACTTACATATAGAAAAAGAAATCGTAATATCCTTTTATGAGTTAATATGTAGAGTACATTTCCAGTATCGGAGTCTATCACAGGTAATCGATGAATTCTGTTCCTTATGAGAGTTTGGATGGCTTCAAATAAAGATGCATCAGGTCCGATACTAATTAAAGGATGAACTTGCTCTCTCAAAACCTCTATAAATAAAAATAATTAATTAATAACCGTATTTTATGATAGATAAGTAATCAAATTAAATATGGATGAATATAATGGATGATGATATTTAGAGCTCTTTCATATGATCTCGTCTAGGTAGATCTTTTATTGACGATAGGTTAATGAGATCACCTGATTATGAATAATTTTTTTATAATTTGTTTTTAATTTATAGTACATGTATTAGTGATACGTAAAAAGCTAATTTTATATATTTTCATTGTCACGATAAATTCGCACTACTTAGATGAATTGTCGCTTATACGTCCGTTGCACCGTTGCTAGCCATCTTGTTTTTTTTCATCTCTCTTACTCTAAGCAACTCGTGTAGCTACCTCCGTATTGTGTGATGTGATTCTATACCAACAAGGTAATTTTTATTCAAATCAACAGTTTTATTGTATCATAAAGGAAATAATAAGTGTAAGTAAAGAACAAAAATATAGGGTAAGAGATTCGGTTCTGACGATGGTCTGATTATGAACACCCCTACATTTCTGTCAACAGAAAGCAGATGAGGTTGTTCTGACAAATGTCATTTATGCATTATGGAAGCACATTTTTTATACCAAATAACGAAATGAACAAACGCATCCCTAGTGAAAAAATCCTGCTGGAAATACAGCCTGTATTTCCAGCAGGATATTTAGTTGGATTTCCAGTTGGATCAGCTTGGATTCCACCTGGATTTCAGGTGGATATCCAGGCTAGATTTCCAGGTGGATTTCAGGCTGGATTTCCAGGTGGATTCGAGGTAGATTTCCAGATGGATTTCTAGGTAGATTCCAGGTTGATTTTTAGTCGGAATTTCTAGGTGGATTCCATGCTGAATTTTCAGCAGGATTCCAGGTGTCTTTCCAGGCTGGAAATCTAGGTTGAATCCAGGTGGATTCCAGATGGAATTCCGGGTAGATTTCTACGTGGATTTCTAGGTAAATTCCAGGTGGATTTCTAAGGGATTTATATCCTGGATTTCTAGGTGGATTCCAGGCGGATTTGCAGCTGAGTTTTTAGGACAATAGAAATAAGAAACTAGATAAGGCTGTTACTGTGATGGTTCAAGTAAGAAGATGAGAGTATATAGCATATAGATACTATAGAGAGTAGAAGAAATTAATTTTATTAGTCGTACATTTATAAAGAATGAAAAAGTATAAAATATAAAATATGAAAAGTATATTTTCAAACGATATTAGTAAAAGTTAATTAGTCTCGCTTTTTTTTCATTTTCTTTAATACTACGTTAATATCCTCCTAAAGCTTTGTTTAACAATTGCCTATTATTCAGCTTTAAAACCTTCTGATAGAAATAAGATAAACATTCTGCAAGAAAATAAGCCTTAAATGTAAAAACTTACTATATATTTGAATAATTATAAAATTTAAACATTAACTTTCTTACTAGTTATTGTTAACTGTTCCATATGGGTCAGCAAAATTCGTCGATTTTTGCCATTCAGCGTGTAAGAAGGCGATTCCGGTTTAATACATCTTCTACTAAGCGCCTCTTTATAGAAGCCATCTTCGTTTCTATGCATAGATCTCAAAATTTGTTTGGTAAATTTACTAGTGTCTTTCAACTTTAGACAATCCTTTCATTCTACATAGAGGATTTTAAAATCTTTATTTCACCATATATACATTGTCTAAAATTATTTATATGTATTTTGAAAATATTTATTTATAAAAGTAAAATAAACGATAGAATCATACAAAATTAAATTTTACTTATTGTTTCACCTTCTTTAGATACACTTCCTTTTTTACCAAAATTTGAAAAAAAATTCATTTCATTGGATGCTTCTGAATCAACAAGACTATTATCATCAACACCTATTCCAGATTGATCATCTCCTTCTGAACCAACATCTATCTTATTCTTTTCTTTTTTAAAAAGATTATGTGATAGCATTGCAATTTCTCGATTAGATAATTTCACCTTAGGAATAGTACGATCCTCTATTCCAAAGTCGCAAGTCAGATCGTCATCAGAAGCTTTACTAAACCTTCTTTTATTTGATTTTTTTATTAACTATGGTGACAGCTCTTTTTCAGAGTTCATAAAAATCTTTGCTGAAAGATTTTATTTCAAAATGTCAATATCGGTACCAGGTTGTGACAAAATATAAAATAATATATTTTTTTATTAACTTTTTACTCCAGAATTTGATGTATTTGATTACGATTATTTGACTTTACGTCGTCACATTCTATATCCTAAAGATCTTGAGATTCGTAAAATAATTCAAGTGATTCATCATCGACCAATGACAGGTTTAGCACATCTACGCTAACTACTTTTTCTCGAGTTGATGCAGCGCAGATGGCATTCATGTCGATCTTCAAAAAAAACATATAAATATGATAATTTTTACAAAAAATGTATATAAGCATAATATAATATAAATAATCAAAAAATAATAACAAAGATATCCTCAACTACTATATAAATTTTAAATCAAGGATCGCGGTCGAGAGCTGCAGCCGAGTAAGGTCAAAGTGGCCATGACTGGTGGTCTAAATATTGAGGGGGTATCCTCGTGTAAATGGCGAAAAAAATCGATTTTTTGTGTGCATATTTTGAAAGTTAAACCTTTCAAAAGTATGCTGTTAAAATTTTAGAGCAAAATTCTAAGCGGTTTAAATTTTATGACCGTTTTCGGAAAGGTCCGTCAGCGCGCGGAGCAGGCAAACAGGTGAGCGCTCTAACACAAAGGCCCCCCATCGAGTAGGGACCCAAAGGTATACAATACGATGTATACAGCCATGTTTGAAATATAACGTTTTTCATGTCTATTATACTTTTGAGATGAGGTTGTAGAGTATAGCTTTCGAACTGCTAGTTTCGGCGCGATTACTGCAGCTGTTTCAGTTCTCTCGTGGCTTCCGAGTTATAAGCAAGTCTGCACGTTTTACCACGTCATCTTCTTCGTATCCGAAGGGCGAGGGAGGCTCAAGATATCGTGCATCAGAGCGCAAAAGAAAGTTTTATGGAAACCGCTTTACAACTGAAACAGGCGAACCGAAAGGTGCCAGTGCGAGTGCAAGAAAATTATCGTTGGCATCGGAGGACGAAATCACAATAAATAATGGGCACCGGTATCGCATCATTGAGTTTGTGACTATGTTCTCTGTATTGTCTGAATTGCTGTGTTGCAAATCGTGCAAAGGACCTGTAAAGTTTTTAGAAGCTGGGCACCGCGGCATAGGCTGGAAACTCGTTGTTTCGTGTAGGTGTGGTGAAAGTAAAGTTGATTCAGGACCCTTCATCAATAATGGATTCGAAATAAACCGTCGTATAGTATTTGTAATGAGATTATTAGGTGTTGGCTTGAAAGGAATTAACTTATTTGCAAGTTTACTGGATATTGGCGAAGGTCTCAGTAAGAAAGCCTATGATGGTATACTGCAGCATATTTATGATGCCTCGAAGGCTTGTTTTCTCACAAGTTGTGATAACGCCGTCAAAGAAGAAACGAAATTAAATGAGGAAAACAACAGACCACTGCTAGAGTTAAAAGTATCAGGCGATGGCTCGTGGAAGAAGCGTGGCTTCTTGTCAAAAATTGGTGTTACAACGTTGATAGCATACGAGACGGGAAAAATTATTGACTTGATTGTGAAAAGTACGCTCTGTCAAGGTTGCTCTACGTGTCCTTATAAAGAAAATACGCCGGAATATAATGATTGGTATGAGAATCACGCTGATGAGTGCAGTGCAATTCATAAAGGCTCCGCTGGTAAAATGGAGGTCGATGCCGTACTCGAAATGTTTTTGCGATCACAAGGATTACACGGTGTAATGTATACAGTTTATATAGGTGATGGCGACTCAAAGACATTTCTAGCCATATTGAACGAAAATCCTTACGGTGATGCCTATAAAGGTACTAAATGTGAGTGCATTGGCCATGTGCAAAAGAGAATGGGAACAAGACTGCGCAATTTGAAAAAAGCTGAAAAATTAGACGGAAAGGGTAAACTCACAGATGCACTAATTACAAAGTTGACTAATTATATTACGGATTAGCAATAAGGAGGAACGTGGACTCCGTTGAAGATATGAAGAAAGCCATAATGTCAACTTATTATCACCTGTGCTTTACAGATGAAAATCCAATGCACGAAAATTGCCCTCCTGGAATTGACAGCTGGTGCGGGTGGCAATCATCACGCCTTGTAGGGGCAAATGTATATGAACATCCTCCAACTTTACATGTTGACTTGCAAAAGCACTTATTACCAATCTACAAAGATCTTTCGAAAGAAGATTTATTGAAAAGATGCTTAGGCGGTTTCACTCAAAAAGCCAACGAAAGTTTCAACGCGCTCGTGTGGCGTCTAGCTCCAAAACATTTACATTCTGGCCCTAAAACTGTTGAAATTGCTGCTTATATTGCTGCTGTAGTTTTCAATGATGGATTCAAAGGCATTTTAAAGATGATGAGGATATTAGATTTGCAAGTCGGTAACGTTACAGCCAGTTATGCGAAAACAGTGGACCAAGAGCGAGTTAAGCGGCAAGATGCTCGAAGTGAGAGTTGCTCAAAAGAAGCTCGATTATTGAAGAAAATGAAAACTGCAGCGGAAAATGTGCACTTAGAAAAGTCAGAAGGTTTGCTCTATGGACCAGGCATTGCAGGTAAATTCAAAAAATGGTTTTGAAAGTGAAAATATGAAAAAAGAAATTTTGATTTATTGCAAACGCGTTTTCTCGGGTTTCCTCGAAAAATGATTTTTCGAGTTTCTGCCGACGATTACTCCGCGAATTTGTAACGTATCGAAAAAAAAAAAACCATTTTAAAGGTAATTTAATTATCTAGTCGACAAACTAAAAGGATTTTGAAAAAAATTATTATTTAACCATTTTTTTGCAATAAAAATAAAAAAAAATTTTTCTTAATTTGTTTAAAAGTCAGCCATTTTTTTAGTAAATTTTTTTATAATCGTAAATGTAGTTTATCGACGAGTTTTTCGT